CTCTACCTACCTCTACCTACCTCTATACATTTGGGCCAACTTGGGCCTAACCCTGTTTGGGCAAAGTCTTGGTCTTCCTAACCTCCCCAACCCAAGGGAAACTGGCAAGGGGTTGGGTCAAAACTAGCGGGCCGTGACATGCCGGACACATTATGGGCCATTTTGAAATTTCTAAAAAGTTAGAAACATGTTTCAATAGCAAATTTTCAAATGTTTTTGTTGTTTCCCAAATTATTTACATGATTTAACAATCATTTGCAAATTGATAGTTGATCGTACAATTTATTTTGAACATGTTTGTATAAAAATATATTAAAAGAATATATGTATAAATAAAAACTTATATATGTTTATATAAAATATTTATATATATACCCCTATACTTTAAATATTTACACGTTTCCCCCAAGTTCCCGTATCCCCATTTTAGAAACATGCCGTTTCCGTGTATCCGTTCTTCAGTGTTCATATATCCCCGTTTCCGTGTCCGTGCTACATAGCCATGGTTGTTGATTTTCCATCAGTTTCTTCCTTAATAAAACAATTACAATGTCTATTAATTTACATTTAACAAATACTTGCACAAGTTTGATTTGGTCCGTGAGACCTCCCTCTTCTTCAAGGCACGAAAGAGTCTTCCGACGAGAGCACCTGCAATGCCGGGAGGTGATCCCGGCGGGAAAGCTCCGACGGTCAAGTTAGTTATGTATTTTTTAAGATATTATTACTGTAATATTGCGTAGAAGAGCATAAGTGAAAAAATGTTTGTTTCTTGGGGGATCCCCTCTATTTATAGATGTTCCTTTCTTGGCCTCCAAGGTTTCTTTTTTTAAGGTTTCTCTTTTCTCAAGTTATGTTTCTTGGGCCTTTACAATTTGGGCCTGCTTAGGATTTATGTACTTTTTCTTCCTCCGATATCGTACTTCGGTTTTTCTCAACATCTGTTGCGAGCCACGGTATTCCGAAGTCTTAGGTCGCTGTCCTGGGTCATAACTCGGTATCCTTTCTCGTTGTAGTAAATCGACTCTTCTTAGTTCGTACTTATTTACTTTAGTCAGAATGGCCCGTATCAACTACTCCCCCTACTCCATATTTATGAGACGAGTTCGCTATACCTTTCTCGTTTTATAAGCATGGAGTACGAGGTATCAACTTGCGCCTCCCTTACTTTCGGCGGATTCACGCGTGCCCCCTCTTCATTAATGATTCTGACATCAGGCGTAGGCGGTTCGAGTTCCCTAGGTCATTATTGCGAGATTTCAACGGGTGTTTTTTTGCCAAACTCGAGGCGTCCCTTTTGAATCTTGCTCGTTCATATGAGCGGCCAAGATTGCTTCTCTTATTTCTTCCCCCCAATAAATATTCACCTTCTGCAAATTTTCAAAAAATTTCTCCCTTTCTACCTTCGTGCTCTCCCCCTTGGTAATTTTTTCGACGATATGCTTTTTGAAACAGAGCCCTTGCTTCCCGTGTCCGTCTTTCTTCCTAACAAAGGTACTTTCTTTTCCACTTATTTCACCAATTTTGTCTTTTCCCGCCGTTCCTACGTACATGTCTTCCTATTCCCCCGATCCTTTTGGTCAAAAAATGTCTTCTGGCCACTCTCCCGGGGAGGGGGATGAGGGTCCCGCCCTTACCATTTCTTCTAGTGAAGTTATGCCTATTCCTTCTTCTTCGGAGGAAGGCCTCATTTCTCTTCTTCGGGTGAACTTTTGAAGGTTTCCAAAAAGAGGGTTAGGGATGATCTCCCATCTTCGGTGAGGAGTGGTTCTCCTTCACTGTCTGAGGGGCGAGATCCAGATGATCAATGGGGGCCCAGCACTCTAAGTGAAGTGGACTTGGTTAACTTAGCTCGCGACATAGGTCTCCCTTCTGATATTGAGTTGGTTCTCCCCTCTCGGGATGACCGTCCACTCAGCCCTCCCTCAGGCTTTAGTACTTGGTTCTCGGAACAATTTTACTTCGGTCTATCTTTCCCCATCTCACCTTGGTTTTCCGAAATAGCCCAAATATGCAACGTGTCCCTTAATCAATTTCACCCTCATGCGATAATTATTATGACCGGGTTTCGCATGCTTTGTGCCTGGTCTGGTGTGATTCCCACTCCAGCTCGATTTCGAAGTGTCATGGTATTGAAAAACTCTAGTCCTTTCCATGTTTCGATTTCTGCTCGTCCGGGCTACAAAGTGCTGATGCCGCCCAATAAAACAGACGGGTGGCAAGGCCATTATTTCTTTGCTAAAGATCCCATTGATACTCCTTATTTATGCCCTTGGGTTGCTACTTTACCCGAGAAAAAGAAAGGGAAACCCTTACCCATTTATGACTGGCTATTGAAAATGATTGCCCATTTTCAACCGAGCTACGGTCTTCCCAATACCCTTACAAGTTTTCCGCCGATGCTTCGCCACTTCTATTTCCATGACAACGGCACTCATGCTCTAACCCAAGCAGACTTAGGTAGGTATAGATATGCTGCTAGTCTTATATCGGCTTATTATTTATCCGGATTTTCAATTTCGTTGCTTCTTACTCGGCTATGCTATACTACTCAATATTGATAGCTACTCACCCCGTTTTCCTTATTTTATGGGCAGATCTAAGGATAAAGAGGATGTTCCGAGGTAGTAAGCCGACACCCTTCTGAGTCGGAGCCTGGCTTTCAAGCTCCCAACTTCCAACGCCCGTTGGCTGTTGATTCCGATAAGAGGCAACCAGAAGAGGGTGCCTCCAAACCAAAAACCACCAAGAAAAATGCCGGACCCACACGTCCACGAGGTGTGTTATGAATAGAAGACCCTAATCCTCCCCAACAGTCATCAGCTTTAGTCATGGCTTCCTCCTCGTCTCCTCCTGCTAACGAAGAGGTGTTGGAGAAGGAGCCTTCTTCGAAGAAGAGGAAGGCGGATCAAGCCCTTGGGCCGATCGGTTCGCACCCTCTTCCCAACTTCGCACTACATCTCTGCCAGAATACGGAGAACGCTATTGCCGCGTGCCGGGCCTTGGCTTTCCCTCGGGACGTCACTTTTTACCGTCAGATGAGTAAAGGGGATCGACTCGAGCTACTTTTGCACAATATCACTCAGGTCGGTAATAGTTAATCTATGTATACACAAATATAGGTGTACTTATATTCTTGCTTCCAACTAACCTTATCTAATTCTTCTTGTATTTGTAGCAATTCGCCATTGCTTTCTCGGGCCCACTGGGGTGGGATGACGTCTCGCATGAGGCGTATGACAATCAAAAGAAAGAAGTTACTCAACTTCGGAAGGAGGTCCGAGCTCTGAAGGAGAGCTTAGCATTGGCAGAGTCATCGAAAGAGGGGTTATTCGCGGACGTGAGGCGAGAGCAGGAAGAGAAAAAGGTCCTGCAGGCAGAGAAGGACTCATTGGCATCCCTCAATGCCAGTTTGGAAGAGAAGGCGAAGGTGCTCACCAACGAGCTCTTTCCTGCCGGGATACTGGCATCTTCCAATTTCACCGAGGGTGTGAAAGAAGGGCATAGGCTATTTCCGGGGTCGTCGGAAGGGTTCCGCTTCATGCAGGAATTCGTTCGCCGCTTCTTCCATCGTCTATGGCGTTCAACAACCTTTACTCGGGAAGCTTCGAATCTAGCTCGCTTCTTCTTCTCTGCTGCTGTTAAAGCTGTTCAGAAGCGATGGAGCGGGACAGGTATCGAGTTTCCGTTGATCGAGGAGGATCTTGCCGAAGACCTTCCGAACAACGAGATTCCAGGTTTCGAAAGGGGATGTGAATGAAGACCCCGACCTGGAATGGTGGAAGCAAGTGTACCGGGAGCTAGTTGAGGATTTCTCTCGGCGGGGAACGTCATTAGTGATCATCGCTGATTACGTCGGAGATGTAGAGACCGTTGAGGCGGTGGCCAGCCTTAACGAAGCACGATTGAATCCTGCCTTAACTCCGTCTCCTCCTGCGGAAAACCCAAGCGAGGCGAGGACGGAGCCTTCCGAGACGAGAGACGAGAATGTCTAGGCTGTGTGTTTTTAGATATATTTTGGAACAATGTATTTTTCAATTATGCCTTTTTGTTTAGAACAATGCTTTCAATTATATGTAATTTGTTTTTGTGCTACGTATTTTGTTTCAGCAATTCGTTTACTTGGCTTTTTATTCTTTGTCTTTATTCGAAACTCCATATTTCATTCATGTCTTTGTTTAACTCGGTGTTTCCATATTTCCGGTGGTCTACTAGATATGCTTTGATTTTGAAAAACCATTTTGGCCAGCTCGGTTAGCGATTCATTACTTACTTTAGCTGTTTTTACTTAACTTTTCTTTCTTCTCTTATATCTTGATTTATCAGTCTTTTTGGGACTTTGGTGATCAACTCGGTTTGTTTTTGACTTGGCTTGATTCAACGACTCGTCTTATATTTAGATCAACTCGATTTCTCGGTTTGCTTTCGGTTGGGCTCAATTTAACGACTCGCTTCATATTTAGGTTGGGTCGATTTCTCGACTCGCTTTTAATTCGGCTCGATGTAACGACTCATTTCATATTTAGGCTGGGTCGATTTCTCGACTCGCTTTTAATTCGGCTCGATTTAACGACTCGTTTCATATTTAGGTTGGGTCGATTTTTCGACTCGCTTTTAATTCGGCTCGATTTAACGACTCATCTCATATTTAGGTTGGGTCGATTTTTCGACTCTCTTTTAATTCGGCTCGATTTAACGACTCATTTCATATATAGGTTGGGTCGATTTCTCGACTCGCTTTTCAATTCGGCTCGATTTAACGACTCATTTTTTAGTTAGCTCAGTTTAGTCCAACAGCTCGTTTTTCACTTAGCTCGATTTAACGACTCATTTTTTAGGAAATAAATGACACAGATGTTTTTTTAACGTGGAAACCCTCCAAATAAGGAGAGAAAAAACCACGGGGCCTAGCCCAGCTCGTAAATCATGCGTTTATTGATGGTGCTTGCTTACAAAGTGTGTTCCCCTTTCTCCCATTTTTATTTCTTTTTTTTTTTTTTTTACGCGAAGAAGCGTTTTAAATGGGCTATGTTCCATGCACGTGGCAGTGCTTTGCCTTCCATGTCTGTTAACTCGTATCCGCCACCAGCCAAGCATTTGGCAACTGTATACGGGCCTTCCCAATTGGCTTCTAGCTTGCCTGTGTTTTTTAGGGCGTCTGCTCGACGAAGGACTAGATCGCCAATCTGGAAAGTGCGAGACCGGACTCCCCTGTCATACCGGGCCTTAATCAAGTTTTTACTTCGTTCCATATGTAGGTAAGCCTCCTCTCGTAAATCAAAAACTTCGTCCAACTGTGCTCTCAGGGCGTCATTGTTTTTCTCGTTGTCAAACGTGGTTATGCGGAGTGTGTCAATTGCCACCTCGACTGGGATAACGGCTTCAGTTCCATAGGTAAATCGAAATGGTGTCTCACCAGTAGTGGCTTTGGCAGTTGTTCGGTAGGACCATAGGACCGATGGTATCTCGTCTACCTAACTTCCTCCCAGCTCATCTATCATTTTCTTGAGGCCATTGACGATGGTTCGGTTCGTGGACTCTACTTGCCCATTAGCTTGAGGGTGCGCGACTGCTACGAATTTTTGTGTAATTTTTCATTTCCTCACACCAAGCTCGGATCTTCTTTCCATTAAACTGGGTGCCATTATCCGACACGAGGCTCCGAGGTAAGCCAAAACGGCAGCAGATATTTTTCCATATAAAGTGCATGACTTCGTCCTCCGATATTTTCGATAAGGCCTCTACTTCAACCCACTTGGTGAAATAGTCCACTGCGTCAATAAGGAACTTCTTTCTACCTATCGTTTGCGGAAAAGGCCCTACCAAATCGATCCCCCATTGTGCGAAGGGGCATGGAGCACTCATGATGATCATTTCCTCTCCCGGTTTATGTATGAGTGGGGCGAACTTCCTTCTTTCCCAAACACCTCGCGTCCACCGTGGTGAAATTTCTTTTGTATAGTATTCCGTATCGCACATAGAAATGCTGGGCTTTGTATGCCAAGCGGTGTTGCTCTCTGGCCTTTCCAACTCGTTCTCCCTGAAAGTATGCGAATAAAGGAGCTCGCCAGTCGATTTCTTCTTCTTCGAGTATCGTGATTCCGAGAATTGGGGCGGGGGGGGGGGGGGAACAATGAAGATGGATATCTTTCTCTCAACGCAGTCCAAAACCGACAACCCCATTTTAGCGAGGAAAACAGCTCGTTGAATGGCCTTCCCCCGAAATTGACAAATGGGGCATGCTTCAAAGGCTTCTTGGACAGCCCCCCCTTTACTTACATAAATCCCCATTCCGGCATTCTTTATTTCGTAATCCCCTTCCAACTGAAGTATCACAAGCTGGGAATCGGAATTTACTTGTATTACTCGGGCGCCCAACTCTGTTGGTCGAAAACCTACACCCAAGTGCACGTATCGTACAAGTAAAATAGTGGACAATTAAGTCCGGAAATCCAACCCCCAGGGAATATTTAATTATCTAATCCTAGACGCTAAATTCTACCAATTATTATCAAGCCCACCCTACACAGTCGACTTTTAAGAGAATTTTCTAAATTAAAATAAA